TGAAAAGCCGCCACCTGTAGCTTGCAGCAGACACTGAAAACACAATAACGATGATACCGTTACTTTATTTTCTGTCAATCACGATTTTTATTTTTTATTTTATTTAATGGTACAGTTTTGTTAAACAATAAGTCCATACAAGGTATTAAATAAATATAAGGAAACTTTAAAAATATTTTTTAAAAGAACGTCAAGGCGTTTAAACTCCGTTTAAACTCACCACATAACATGACTATATGTAAACTCGAGAAGGCAAAGTTTTGAGCAAGAAGTTGTTTTATCGGCTTGGTTCTAGTATCACTCTGTCTTTGGCACGGCAACCCTTGTTTTTTCAATCATCCTCGAAGCATTAAAAGCTAACACCCTAAGTACTTTTTAACGTAATATCTGAATGAGCACTTTTGTTTCAGCTCAGAAATCCCACGACCATTCATCCTAAAGGTTTGGGAAGTAAGGTAAACAAAAGAACGTAACAAATAGAGATCTCATTGCATGGCCAGTGATATCACTCTTTGAAACAAATTGTTTTAGTTATGTTCTTTTATATTATTTATATTCCATTCTTTTCTATTCCTAATTCTTCTCAAAAGAGACAAGCAGTTCAGAAAAGTGTCCGCTTGGTTTGTCTTTAGGAACATGATGAAAAGTGTTTCGTGACAGACAATTTGAAGACAAGTCTGTCATAAGATGGAAAGCTCGATCAGGGAAATGGAAAAAAAAATCCAAAAAAGTCTAACTGATTTATTTTTTACAGGCAATTTCTATGGAAATACATTAACTTGTCAATGCTTATAGAGTATGTTAATAATTCTGTGTAACAAGGGCATGTAAGTGCATACGGTTCCGAGGCCATCTCCTGAGAACTGACTCCTTTTCTTTTTTTTGCTTGATGTGTCGCAATAATGACATATTTTTTTTGCTCTGGGTACTCCGTTTATGCACTTTTCGCGCGTTAGTGCTCCGCAAAAACGAAAAAATGATTTCACAGAAATATTTCTAAAGTTTTCCTTATCAGAAAAAAAGCAATGATTATCTCGTTTATGAAATATGCTTCATGTTTTGTTTGTTTGTTTTGCCAAAATTTGACGGTGCTGTTTCTTTTCGCCGTGTAGTATCTTTAGAGGATATGACTTCATGTTGCTTCCTTCTTCCTTCATGTTACGGGAGCTGTTCTTTATAACAAAAAGTTGTGCTCATGCTTAGAGCCACTTTTACTGCACATATGTGTCGGTGCAAGTTATTGTGCACGACGGTTTTTTTCTTGTGAAAATGTCACGTATTCATTATTCCCCTCAGTAAATTTTGCTTTGTTTGATTTTTTTTTTGCCTTATTCCTTTTTTTTATATAGGAAATGGACGAAGAACAGCAGAAACACCAAGAAGAGCTCGGTTTGTGGAAGAAGGAGGCCAAGGCTGCACAAGACAGAGTATGTAGGATACTGCTCCAGTTATTTAATATCTGTTTATAATTATGTCCTCTCCCATGCAAGTAGTTATGAAAAAGAAAAGAAAATTGGCGAATAAACTCATAGTTTTGCCGAAACTGCACGGTGAGTAACTTAAACAGAAATGATACTGAACTTTAATTGTTATCTGACGATTGTTTGGATAGACTATGTGGACTTCCTTTACCCTTGTACGAGAAGCGAACGGCCAAGAATGAGTCGCTTAGCTATCTCAATGATTAAATCTGGTCACTTCGCTTAAACACTTCTTTTGCACTTCCCTGTATGTAGTTTAAAGAGGACATCACCACCATGAACCGAAGACACCGTGGGGATATCAAACGTCTGGAACGGGAATTGACTGAAGCTAAAGTGGGTGAACTCTTGATTCTCATGAGCGCTTTTCGATTGAGTGTCGAGACACCTAAATCAAAGTAACTATGGCCAATCAGCATAAAAGTGGGTAATCTCGAGGAGCCAATAAGAACTCAGAAAAAAAACACGAAAACGACCTTAAACGCGGGGAAACGCGAGTGACCTAGGCACGATTGGTTCAGTTTTTGGATCTGATTGGTTGCGCCAATCACAGAGACTAATCACGCATCTTACTAATACGAAACCAAAGCAATCTCGATTTCTGTGTAGACTCAGTTCAAATAATAGTGTGGGCTAGCTAAGGTGAAGGCGAAGCCTATCTCTTCAGGTCATGAACCTCTTTTATGTAGTCAAATCATACCGGCATAATTACAAATAAAGGTAGCTTGGAAAGAAATTCTGCAGTCTCTGATTATGAAAGTTTCTTTTCCCAAAATGTTGTACTTTCCGTAATCTTTCCAAGTAGTTCTTTGTCCTAAGGTTTTGTAAGTTTTTGTACTCTGTTAGGTTATCTTGAGACGACTTACATTTACGAAGGTTACTCTTTTTCTAGGAGAAAAGTGAACACACAAAAAATGCCGATGACTCGCTCGTACAAAATCTGGAAGCGAAAATCGTAGATTTGGAGTATCGCTTGCGTCAGCCGTTGGCAGACTCCGAAGAAGTTCTAAGATTAAGAACCAGGCTTCAGGAGTCGGATAAGATGCTCCAAAGTGCCGAGCAGCAGATAAACGAACTGGAAACGAGAAGTGAATCTTGGAGACAAGAGGTACCAGGTTATTTATTCCTGAATGTCGTGTCATACATGGTCCCCTCTGATTTGCGTGAAGGAAACGTAGACGATAGTCGAAAGCGAATCACCGCGGCCGTTCGGCAATCGGGGACAAAGAGCCGTTTGGGGGGAAATTTTAGCAGTTGAAAGATTCCAAATATTTTGAAAAAAGAGAGAAACTTGTAGATCTGCGTTGATGGCAAATGGGTAACGACAAGGAGACCAGAGAACTCTGGATAGAGATCGGGGAAACGCTTGCCAGCTGTCACAACCGCTGAGAAACTTTTTTCGAGCGAAGAGAAGAGCAAAATTTTAACAAGCATCGATTTGATTATTGTAGCGAGCGTAGTACGCACCCAAGACACATCATAGTACGTCTTATTTATGTATATTTGTATGTAGCTCCATTTTAGTGGCCTTTGTGTATAACGCACTAAGCTTTTACTTATAAATCTTAACGCATATGGGCATTGATACAGAGTCACTGACCTAAACCTAGAATTCATGGATTAGGATTTTTGTTCTCCGTGTTTTGATACTTAGTTTTGTGATTGATTTATTCTATGCCCACGTTTCTTCTTGACGAGGAAAGAAAAACTGAAAGGCAAAGAATGTGAGTATAACTGATTGAATCCTCAACTGATATTATAATGACTATATCCGTTGAACATACTGATTAGTTGGTTGTGGGGCCTGGGGTGTCAAAGTGCTTAGATTGACAGCCTGTGTTCCCGCCCATGAATAACGAGGCAAAATGCATAAACTCGCGTTTCTACACTAAATTATGTGGGGATACACAGAATTTTATTTTTGTAATATCCTATTAAGGCAGGAGCCCCTCTGTGTGACCTTGGTTATCTTCTTCACTGCGTGATGTCATTCACCGGTTTCCAGCAGGCTCGATATTTTCTTTTTTGTCATCTTAACAAACCAGTGTTTTATTACAAATCGAAATAAAACAATCAGCTGAATTAACTTCAGTCTCAATATTTCTGACTATTTACGGAAGGCAGAGTGAATTCTTACTCGTCGAAGTATTTAAGGTAATAGGGAAGTCTACTGTGACGACTTTTTAAATCAACAACGTTTTTCATTGAATTATAATAGGTTGAACCTCAGTGCCGTATCGAAATTTTTGAAAAAATAATTTTAACATGGATTTCATTACCCGTCAGAATTGCACGCAATATCTCAAAAAGTCAGAAAAACATTTTAGACAACTTAACTGGGTTCACCCTAAGTTTCGTCAAGTTTCAAGAAAATTCGACCCAATATTGGCTTAGAATTAACTCTGAAGCTCAGAATACTAGAGAAAACAGGTAACGACAAAACTCGACCTATCAATTTTTAAATCAACAACGTTTTTCATTGAAATTTAATAGGAGGTGGAAACTCAGCGCGTAATCGATATCTTTTAAAAATAATTTTAAAATCGATTTCATTACCCGTCAGAATTGCACGCAATATCTCAAAAAGTTAGAAAAACTAAACCATTTTAGACAACTTAACTGGGTCCACCCTAAGTTTCGTCAAATTTCAAGAAAATTCGAACGAATATTGGCTGAGAATTAACTCTGAAGATCAGAAAACTAGAGGAAACAGGTGACGACAATACTCGATCTATCAATTTTCGTAAAATGTTTTCGGAATTTCCGGCGTCAGAACTCAAACCTAAACT